AAGTTCAGCCCAAACCGCAGGCGGCAATGGCAACTTTCTGAACGCGCCGTCCGATAAATATGGCGCACCCTCCGGTCAATCCGGACGTTTCCAAGCCCCGTCAACAAACTACGGAGCTCCAGTCGGTAACAGCCAACAAGGATACAACAATGGTGGACAACAGCAACAAGCTGGTCCTGATGCAGGCGCTGCTATCTTGAAATTCGACAACGAAAACAACGGCGATGGCAGTTACCGCTTCGAATACGAAACTGAAAATAAAATCCAACATCAAGAAGCTGGTGAATTGAAAAACCAAGGTACTGAACAGGAAGCACAATCCGTATCGGGTTCTTACTCCTATATGGGTCCTGATGGTGTAACTTACACTGTTACTTACATCGCTGATGAAAACGGTTTCCGTGCCACTGGTGATCACATCCCAACTCCACCACCAGTACCAGAAGCCATCCAGAAATCTTTGGAGTTGAACGCCGCTGCTGAAGCCTCCAACAACCAGGGATACTCTAATGGTGGTTACCAAAATGGTAACAATGGTAACAATGGTAATAATGGTTACCAATCAAACGGAAACAATGGTTACCAGTCTAATAACAACAATAACAACGGATATCAAAACAACAACGGAAATGGTCATCATGCTGCTCCTTCCTCCGCTAGCAGGCAATACATCCCACCAAACAAGCCCAGCTTCAACCAACAAAACGGTTACCAGTATTAAATTATTATTATCATTAACAACGTGATAAAACCAAGTATTATCAACATGTAAACTAATAATTGAGTAAAAAAATAAACAACTAATACGAATTTATTTGAATTTCACATAAAATCCGATATTTTTATTTGCACGTAAACACATCTAATTCAATTCGTGGCAGATAAATGTGTCTCTCAGTTGTGTGTGAATAATTAACGAATTAATTATAAATACACGTCGGAATGCAAATTTCACGTGCTCGTTGTTCCACCAATGAATATAAATTCGCGAATGTGCGAAATGTGTATGCGAATGAGCATCATTCTCGTGGATGGGTCTCTAAAATGTATAATTTTCGGCACATTTCGGCGCCGCGTCATATATAAAATGCAATTTGCGCAGATACAGCGCGCTGGTACACATTTCGTATTCATAATTCGAACGAGAACATCAACAACATTTGTGCCACTACGCTGTGTACTCATATAACTTCATAGATAAAATATTTAGTATTGCAGTTATTATTATCGCCAATTGGTGGAAATTAATTTCCACGAATAAAATCATACACACACAACGCTGATTTGTTATTATTTTCGTGCAGGGAGCAAAAATGTCAATATTTTTTCTTGTGTATTGTCGCAAACAAATTGAATTGCAAAATCTCTTGCCTAGCTTTGCTTACCACTCGCGCCTTTCAATTTATTTCAACCACTATCACAAACAAAATCTTTGGCGGCTGCTGCGTTGCAACATGCGCTTGCACTTGTTCAAATGTTTTCATAGTTTATGGAAAACTTACAAAAAATCGAATATTTCAGTGGTTCTATCATTGTAAATTGAAACAAATCTGTTTTCTTACAAAATATAAACTAGTTTTATCGTAATTTTCGCACAAAACAAAAATCACTTTTTAATCATATTTTCCACCTGGAGATATTGTATCATAAAATATTTGAACATGCCAGGTAATAAATTGAAATAATTTGCATAATATTACGCCTTATCGCAAATATTCCTATACGTAGGATTTTTGCTAGGAAAATTTATGAATCTAGCGTAAAATGCAAAAAAAACTATGAATAATTTTGTAATTTTGCGGGAATTGTAAAATCAATTAGTTTACGTGTACAAAACGTCTGGTTTGTATTTATTTTCCTTTTTTCTTTATTTTCTTTCCTAAATACACAAAGTATTCATATGCAATCGATATTCCCTGTTTTCATTGTTATTTTCTTTCGGTATATTCGAAATGTAAGTATGGATCTAACCTCAAAGCATGCTTGACAAACAAAACTACAAAAAATTTCATATTTGGTTTGTGCAGAAATCCGCCGGCCGAAGTTACAGCCACTGTTTGAGCAAGAACTTAATAATGCTTTCATTTCATGCTTGCGATATTTGCCCTCGAGTTGGAAAATTTATTCTGAGATAATATTTTCGTCGCAATGAATGTGATATATTGGTAAAATTTGTTTTTAAAGATTTTCTTTCAATTTCTCTCTTCAAAAACTTTCAAAATTCACAATGAAAATTAACCGTTGAAATGTGCACTAATAAAAACACATCCAAAGTGAGTGTTTTATAGAAAATACAATTCGTCAATACGTCTACCCGACATTTCAACTCTCTTTAGTTCAGCTCCGTCGGCGCCGGTTTGAAACACCGCATTCCCAGCGCGACACAAGACACAAAAGAATCGCTCTCGCAGAGACAATATCTTAGCGCTGGTATTCGTCTACTTATCTTCTACTCTGCTCGAATCTACTCTATAAAATTCAATCTTCCGACCTGTTTATTCAATTTTGCGCGTTCTCGCACCCCACGCGCGGAGGAATAAACGCGCATTGAAATATATACATGTATATCTCCAACAAAACGGCGAAATCCTTTTTTGCACCGCACGCACAGTTCCATTGCGCCGTCTGTTTCAATAATATTTTGCGTGAATCCAGGCTTTTTGTATGTCTCAAGCATTTTTTTCCATTAGAATTGTTGACATCGCAAAACAACCCATCTTTTACTTCCCTTGAATGTTGGTGTATGTTGGTGTGTTATTTATTTATGCTATTCGTCGATTGCCACAATCAACGTCGCCCCATCTCTGGCATTCTGTTCTAAGCGACGCTTTGGAATTAACGAGACAAACAATCTCTTGCGCGACAACAATGCGACAGAGGTGTCGTGTTGTGTTTTTTTTTTTCGCCGAACGCGTGATAATGGCATTACTCGCGAATAATTCCCAAAGTAAAATCTCGAGGGCGGCGCGATACCCTCTCGAGATATAAATACGTGCCGTAAACACGCCGACGCATTTTTAAGGTTGTCAAAAATTAATTAAAGATTGCAGAGAGAAGAATTCACCTCGCGTTTTACCTTGCGCACGTCGCCGCTGGGAATATAGCATAATAAATTTACGATATTTCTCAAAAAGTTGCCGAAAACACAGCTAATGAGTTGATAAGGTTATCTTGATCGAGAGGTAAAGCACGTCCGACAAAGTTACAACTCAATTTTCTCTTCTGATGAAATTAATTCTCCACAAAATTTAAATGTTACAATAAATACATATTGAAAATACAGAAAAAAACAAAAATGTTTGTGTAAATGGAAATAAACATAAAAATTCTAATAGCGATATCCGTTGGATGGCGTATTTAAATTTGCTTGGTTGGGTGGAAGATATTCGCGGCCGGCAGTTTGCGGCGGCTGATATTCTGGTTCAGCTTCAATTACAACTGCTTGGGTATCTTGATTGTGCTCGCGCTGATAGGAGCCACCGTTTTCACTACCACCACTATGAGTTTTATCCGGGCTCTGGCCGTTGTGTTCACTCATCGCTTCCATTTCGTCGAGGGCCTTTTGGATAGCTTCTGGCACCGGCGGCGCGGTCGGAATGTGATCACCTGTAGCGCGGAAACCGTTTTCGTCAGCGATGTACGTTACAGTATACATAACGCCATCCGGGCCCATGTACGAGTATGAACCTTGTACGGACATTGCTTCGTTCTCCTCGCCAGCGTTCTTCAATTCGCCGGTCTCACTATGATGGATCTCATTCTCTGTCTCATATCTGGACGTGACACATGTTATATTATATTCGGTGTGTTTGATGCTCGTTTACTCACTCGAATTTGTAGCTGCCGTCACCGGGTTGTTCATTTTCGTATTTTAGGATTGCTGCGGATGCTGCTGGATTGTTGGTGTTTTCGCTATCGCTTTCAACACCTGTTGGCGGATGTGCACCGCCTTCGGGAGCTGCCAATATATTGCTATTACCGCCGGCAGTAGCGGCATTACTTGGAGGTAGATAAGTATTATCCAAACGACCAGCTACAGCCATTCCAACGCCCAGAATCAAGAAAAAACCTCTAAACAACTAAAAAAATAAAAAATAATTTTTTAATGAAAAAATTATTAAATTAAAAACATACCATAATGTTTCTTGTTAGAATATACTTCAAAGAATGATGTGCATTGGAGAATGCATTATATTTATACCCAAAAAATCCAACTTGAAGATGATACTAATCATTACACAATATTATGGTCACTCTTGGACGTTTTAGAAACTCCAAAACTTTTTCACGATTATTTTTGACATTGAACGAATGAAAGCTGCGTATTTTTGATTTGGCGTTGATATAATTAATTTCACTATTCACATCTACGCTCCCAACAAGCATAAAAATTTAACTATTCACGTATTATATTAATTGAAAAGTATTACTTTGCTTGATCCTAATTACATTCAAACGGACATGCGTTTATTCTTGCTTATTCAATTTGCCTACGCGTACATTACTTGAAAATAAATCAATTTTGTAAATGTCACGATATACTCTAACTAAATTATATAATTTGTAATTACTTAGAACATCGTCAGCGTGGCACGAAAAGTAATTAAAGTATTAGTTATATTGATATAATATAGTTAATGATATTCACAAGTGAAGATGAACTGTAAATATAAATCCAGACGCAATCCAATTTCAATTTTGTCTTAATTACATTTGCGATTCGCCTTCTGTCACTGATTAATTGCGCCTATGCTAAGGACAACATAAGGCAGTGATATTTTGTGTGTCAAATATTGAACTGTCGTTTTTGGCGTAACTTTCCAAAAAACAAATTCATCATTTTATTTTTGGTCCATGCTCGTTGAATTTGCAAGGACACTTCTGTCTGAAGCACGGAACCGCTTCAGATTTAAATTTGCTGGTAATTATCACAATTACCATTCGGCAGGCTTAATTACCATTCTAATTATTACTGTTTGAGAAAACAAAAATGAAGCTCGTCGTGATTAATTAATTTTATGCAACTTTATATACATTTTAATTCAGTTAAGGTTGAATAGCATACAAATCTAAATTGAATGTCAAACTGGTTGCATATATAAGATCTGTCACATTCGAAAATTGATAATTTTGTAGCTTGAACGTATCGAAAGCTTCGACAGTAACGTGCGGATAAAAGCTCGTTTCTAATTTGATATCCACCCGATTGAAATCTTGTAGCGCCGAGATCAATTCATTGTGCTTATACGACGGTATCAGGAAATAAAGCTGGTACTCGTTGCCAGTAACGAAGGCATCGTATCTGAGCGTAGCGATTTGTTCGATTACTGTCGTGATGGGACTCTTGCCATACTCGTGCAGGAAAATTTCCTGTTCGTGCTCATACTGCATAAATAACATTTGCGGTATCGGCGGGACATGGCTGGTCACAATATGAATATCAACTGGGTAGATTTGATGTTCTTGATGTCTCTTTGACAGGTACATTGTTGCAGGAAGTACTCCGCCTTCGTGTAAAAATCCATTAAATAATCCCAGCAACATATTGATGCAAATCCACAATTTAAATGCATAATTTGTTGTTTTAACTGTTTTTCTTGATGATTTTATGATTGTTTCACCATTTATATAAACAAATGGTATAATTAGCGGTAAAAAAATCATATGTGGTTAATTTTACAGACAATATTAACAAACCAGTGGAGAATATTAAAGATAAATTCATAAAAACATGAATTGAAGATAATTTCGATGCATTTTTCTTCTTTGATTTAAATTTACAGATGATTCTAATCCATTCTACCATTGTGTATACTCCTAATATAGGAAATAATATCATAATATGTCCAAGAATAGTTACAAGTTTCCAATTCCAGTTTACTAACAGTTGATCACTGCCCAATCCAATATTTTGATTGATGGTTGGAATAATCTTGTAATTTAATACGTCGATATTTAAAGCTTCTTCAAATGTAATATCTGATTCCACAATCATCATTAAAATTGCTATCGGCAATGTTACACAGAATAATATTAGGTATCTTTTGATGAAGATAATACTGACTCCATGATATTGTTTATAGCCTAAATCACGGCACAACCAGAACATGATTGGTGTTAGTGCATAGAAAAAGAATATTGGACGATTGAAACATCCTAAAACCAGGATTATACTGATTGGTATAATATTTTTGTAAGGTTGCGTATCAGTTGATTGTAATTGTTGCTTGAATATCTTTTTTACTTCTTTATTTGGCGTTAGTAAATATTTCTTCAGTGTGGGTTTATTGTTTGTGTAAACTTTGCTACCAATTACAAAGTATAATAGCAATGAAAATAAAATGATTTCTTGAATATTCACCAGAGTTCGAGATGTGTAAATTAACATACAATATGAACTGGCTAGAATCAATGACTTTGAGCGATATTTACCACCGGATTTTATGTCGATCTTGTAGAGTGACCAGTCGATTAGATAAGAGAGTAAACATATTGCAATTCGGGGTGTTATTAGTAAAATTGTTGGAGTTAATAGTGAGATTTGAAAGATTTTTGATGCGTAAACGTCTAATATCCACAATAAATCATAAGACCAACCATAAAAAATGTAAGAAACGATCATGGAACTTTTCTGATCTTGTTTATTGTATAATGGAGTTGGTTTTAAGTTGAGTTCCAAGTTAAATCGATTTCCTGAAAAATATATTGTAGATAAGTATCAATATAAATTATTTCAGGCGAATAAATGGCCTTTAAAGGAATATTTAATGCATTTTAGGCGATGTGTGAGCATTACTGGTGGGCACACTCAGCCACGGCTGTTTTTATTTAATTTTTACGTGTTTACTGACACAAACAAACAACTTTTCTGCCGAATTTTAAGCAAATAAGGACATCCTAGAGCCATCTGGGTGTGAATCATATAACTTTAATTATGATTAATTCATTCTGCCCACTTTCTCTCTTTATTTTATCTTTTCATTGTTTATTTATACAAAATGTAGTCTATATCCTCCTTCAATTTGTATAAATATTACATCAAAATAAATTTACCAGCAAATGCGGCAATATCACCGCTGAACTCCTCCGAAGATACATATCCATTTTGTGGAATAAATATTAAAATAAACCGCAATAAAAGAAAAAACCACACAGAATATGAATAATTTAAATCGGAACTTTACTTTTGCATTTGGACATTTTCCGCAAATGTTTTGACACTAAATACAATAAATTGTCGTGCATTAGGTGTCAAAGTCTCTTTTCAAACTAATTTTTGTCTTATTTCAAAGGTAATAAAACAGTTTTCTTATGTAATAAAACGTCTAGACGTCCCCCGAGGTGAAAAAGGAGAAATTTGAGTGTAAATATTTAAACTTTGTAGCTAAATACGCGCACTGCGGTTATGGATTGGTTTGTGGCGCTTCCAAACAGCGCAAAACTCAACTAGGCACAACACAAATGTAAAATCAGTCACATTCAGGTTTCTCATAAGGTTTCTGCTGTGTTGTGAATAGTGCTAAACTCAAGGTTTTCGTCACGAACAGGCATAACAAATGTCATAAATATCAGTATCTGCAAATCATTACAACGTTTTCAGCTGGTCTCGTAAATTTCATAAATTGGGGCACAAATTCACGTTCAGAATGCTATAATATCCAACCAAGTAGCAGATAATAACAGGTATGAATGTAGTATTGGCAAACTGCTAACCTATTTCAACTTGTAAATGATTTTCTCCCTTGCAGATTATTTTTATAATGGCTACAAGAATCAACAACAGTATTATAAACCAAATCTTGTTATGGATCCATCCAAAGAATCAAGAGCGCAACCTGATCTCAGCATCATTTCACATGATCACAATCACATTGATTAGCATGTCCCTTGTGCAATTGGAATGGTTTCAGATTGTTGGTGGAGTATGCACTCCATATCTGACTCTTGGTGAATTCTTCTGGTTTGGATATTCTGATGATTTTCCTTCTGGTAAATTAAGACACTAAACAAATGAAAGAGTTTATAATATGTTTGTTGTAGGCTATGAGTGTATTAATAACACAATTGTGAATATGATGAGGATTATCATATTATGGTGTTTTATGACAATCATATTTTCCTTGGGTGGGTTCTTCCTGGACATTATTGGTCCAAGGACATCAATCTATTTCTTCATCAGGAAATATGCCCTTGCAAATACATGTACAGTATTATGGATTATGGCAATTATAAGTTCTTGTTATTATGTGGCCATACTGCTGGAGAATTCTCTTGCAACCTTATATCCAACAATTGATACAATGGTCACTTATGGATATGGGTTTTATTTAATTGCAGCAACAGGTAAAATAATTATTTAGTAATCATATAAATTATAACCTAAATACAAATATTTTGTTAATAGGTGGCGTTGCATTGATTGGTACCTTCTGTTCATTGATTCTGATGCATACAATGTCATCGGAAGCTTATGCAGCAGATGATCCATGTTTGATTGATGATTATGATGATCAAATGGAGCCGTTTAATAACACCGTTCCACCACCGCCGTACAATATACCTCCACCTCCATACGCACCCTGAAACCAAATGCTTTAACACTTTTAATGTATACATATACATATTGATTGTTAAATTAGTTCTTAGAAATTTCCGAGTATTTTCTTAAACGAATCAAGCGTCACACTCACTAAGTATGTTAAAATATCTCAGAACGAAAACCTGCTACTAGTGCTTGTCGTTTTCATGTGATTTAAGTTGTATCAATATTTAGTATCTACAAGTTTGTAAACACACACACACACAACTCAATGTGATAATTGCCTTTCTCTAGTCTTCGAAAGAATCGTCTAACAAACATGCTTTACAGGCTTTAGCTGATAATAATCATTCTTTGTAACTTAGTCACCAAAGATCTATTTTTTGTTAAAATGTGAATTGTGTACACATGGAAACTAGTTTTTAAACACCTCGGCAAATTATAAATATTATAAATTGTCAATTGATGAAAATTGCAAACTTTCTTAATGTTTCATTTTACTGAGAATCAATAACAGGAATCGTACAAATTGTAAATGTAAATAAATTATTTTCAAACAAACCGATTCGTTAATCTTTGTGAAAGTTTAATATAAGCACAACGTATGTTGTTACTGTTCCACGACGGTTATGATAACACTTCTGTTAACAGTGAGCATACCAAATGGACTGAAAGAACCTTGCGGTGAAAGTAATACTTGCATTGTAAATATTTCAACCTAAAAATTAGAATTATGTTATTAACATAGTATAACATTGCAGTACGAGTTGCAAACTTGTGTTTTAGTTTCTTCATTAACATTGTACGATAACAACTTTGCAATTAGGGCTCGTACACAACCCATTCCATCATTCAAACGGTGTGCTGGTTCAACAATTAAAATCAACCGGCTTAAATGAAAAGTGCCCCACATCATCTCCATTATGCGACGTGTTGCTACTTGCTGATGAGTTGCTTGATTAATAATCACGTATAAACTTGCGATTAGTGAGATCAAAATGTTCATCATTACAGCCTAAAACAATTTTAAAACGATTTTGTGATATATTGTAACAGGGATTTTATAATTACAAATATTATGGGTCCATATGCACTGCTGAAAGATGTTAAACCAGAGAACAGGTTGCGATAAACAAAATTCATATTCGTTGCGTGTTTGCTATTTAATTGTTTAACCTTTTTGTCTTTTGTTGTGATGTCACTAAAAGTTAATTCTTTTTGTAGATCAGAAATACGACGTGAGATGCCATCGCATATGACCCAGTAAAGTGAAATAACTCCCAGAACAACAATATGCGATAAGTAATACCCAGCAGAAAAAAATACCGTATAAAGAGGGTTTTCTGTTACAAATATCCAGATGTAATGAGTATAAATAAGAAGAATCAATGTTACGGCCGTAAGTATTATCAGGAAACGTTTTGTGTGAGTTCTTGCCTGTGCTGCGTCTTGTAGATTCAAAATGCGATCAACCTATAAAGAAATAAAGGTATAACAAAGTATTTATTATTAAAAATTAGTTATTTACCTGTGTACAATAATGTGCTAATAGTAGAACAGAAGACCTTTCCACAATAAAACAAATACATATTGTCCACAAGCAAACAAATAATGTGCCAATTTCAACCACAGCTACATATTTATCTAGTGGATTGTCAAGCCGTGTGGTATCTTCATGTAAAATGTCGGCAATTATGCCACCAGTCACTGCAAAGCTCAGAAATAGTGCTGTGAAAACACTATAAAGCGCAAACATTTTGGAAAATTCAATTTTATTAGTTCCTGCATATTTGTAGAATTTGTATGGCATTAAACCAAGTATACGAGATGGATATAAAACTAATGAAAGTGAGTTCCGAAAATAGCGGCTTATAGTAACACATTTTTGCGACATTTTGAAATGTATACTGTGAAAATTATTACAATATTTTTCTTCATAGAAAAGTATTGATTATAAACTCCAAGTAGCATTAAAATATTTATGAATTTACACATAAACAAATAAATAATTAATTTATTATGCTTGTTGAATTGTGATTTGATTTTATTTTTATTATTAGACACAGAATGTACAGCGTGTTTCAGATATGCAAAATTTAAAAATTTCAATAGCACTTTTAGCACTTTTAGCAACATTTTTGGCCATTTTATAGAGAATAGTTCGTAGATTAAGATGCTGTAATCAGATCTTAATTATCTCTTTTAGTTTACGAGATATGCGCGATTGAATAAAATGGGCATAAAAAATTGATCTCTTTTAGTTTAAGAGATATTGATTTTTGAAAATGTCACTTTTAGCACTTTTAGTCGCGTTTTTCGACCTTTTAGTTTTATGCGCGATTGTAGGAAATATAATTATTTTATATTTTTATCTGATAGAGAATTTTCCAATCTTTCATAATCAACAATTCGTTGGTAGCTATCTCTTTTAGTTTAAGAGATATTGATTTTTGAAAATCGTCGAAAAAAGTATCAAGCTTTTAGTTTAAGAGATATTGATTTTTGAAAATCGTCGAAAAAGTATCAAGCACCCCTTGGTCATTTTTTCTTAAGAGTCTCACAAAACGGTCCTATCTTTTGTCTCTCAGATTTGCGTTTTAACTGCACTTTTAGTCCTATCGTATAGAGAATAGCCCTTTTAGTTTAAGAGATATTGATTTTTAGATTAAGACGCTGCAATCGGATCTTAATTATCGACCTTTTATTGTGGGAAATATAATTATTTTATGTTTTTATCCTTTGGTCATTTTTTCTTAAGAGTAAAAATTTTGTCTAGTATTACGAGATATTCGAAATATAATTATTTTATGTTTTTATCAATTGTCAGATTTGCGTTTTAACTGCCCTATCGTAAAAATCAAATTATTTAATTCAAATGATTTTGATACAAAGTTCATGAGACATTATTTAAACCAACATATAGTAGCATTATATTTGTCTACAATCATTTCACGCTCAGATAATTTTATTCCATATTAATGTCTAATTATGACTAGATTTTAGTATAAAATCATAATACTTCTGTGTTTACTGTTCAGTTTCCCACCAAAATTCAAATTAAAACGCGCCATGTTAAAAGGACTTCGTAAACTTTTTCAAAAAGGTATTGATTAATACATATATATTTAGTTTCTAATGTAGATAAGTTAATTACATTTAATTTTCAGATACGTTGGTTCTTCCAATTTATAATCATGCTATTCTTGAATTGATAATATTTTCTCGTATTAAAAATGAGTTTTCAAGAACACTGCTGATACCAGTACAAATTGTGACAGAGATACTTGCCATGACCATCTGGGCAATTTTATTAATCACCTTTGCCTTATTTAACGGACTAGTTGATTGTTACTTGAAACTAAAGTATGGAGAGCAATATGTTGGATTATTAGATGGAATGTCAACAATGATTGCTTGCACAAAACGTCCTGTAATTCAATTTGTGATGTTTCTACAAGCAAACAAAACTCCAAGTCAAATTCTTAATCATTTTCTTACAAATGGTGAGCGAATGAAAGAAGTGCACAAGGTGTTAAACTGTGCGGTTAACTACGAACTTGGTTATCAATTTTATAAATGGATTCATATACCTATTTCCGAATTAATTAAACCAATCAGTGGTTACACAAACGCGAATGATTTTAATATGGTATTAGATAACATTGCCTCCAAATCATTACCACAAAATGATGAATACTTATGGGAAATTTACATAGGAGATACTCAAATTTCTTGGCCGGATGACCAGAGCAGTAATCAGCAAATTCCTGTTATTTTCCGTTTTAATCACATACTTGGGGATGGCGCAAGTATAATGGCACTATGTACTGCTTATTTTATTGATCATGGAGTCCAAGAAGTGAAAAGAAGATGCGGTTTATTCAAATCTACGGTACAAAAAACAAAAACATCAAATATTAATTTCATAAACTGGCTTAACAGTCTTAAATCATTTTATGACTTAAAAGACCGCAAGTTAATATTGAATAGTTTATTAAATCCTGAGAGGAAACATATTCTACATAATGGGTTAACAGGAAACCGCAAAATGTGTGTTTATGGCTTAGACCGTGATGATGGAAAGTATTTTCAAAAAAATTCGGGAGATAAAACGTAGAAAAGCTAATTTGAAGTTTAACGACATTATCTTCACAGCAATATGTGCAAGTCTGACTGATTATATAAATTCCTTGCAATCTCAAGAAAAATTTATCTCAAAACCAGAAAATATAAATATAATAGTGCCGTATTACATTCCCAGAGGAAATTTTCATGAGCTGGTTGATTTAAAGAATCCTAAATGCCCGATAATTAATTTATCTAATAAATTTACGGCTGCACATTATAAATTTCCCCTTGATTATTCTACAAAATTCAATAACAATAACTTAATTGCGCTTCTGACAGAAATATCAAAAAGGAGCGCAGACATGATGAAATCACTGGATCTCTTAGTAAGTTTTGTGTTTAATACAACATTAATAACATATACATAAATCATTTCTACCTAGTTTTTAGAGTATTTAATGGGTACCGTTTTTCAAGTATTGCCACTTCAATTAATTCAGCTTTTCAATCAAACAAATGATGGAACTGCAATTATTAGCAATATGCCAGGCTATGCAGGAAAACAAGCTTTTTGCTGTGAATGTGAAGAAACAGATATGATTGTCTGGACAATGAATCTACAAACTACTGGTCTTACATTCTTGATTTTCACGCATAATAATCGTTTAAGATTAACGGTACAACTTGATGGTAATTTTATTGACACAAGAGAAGGAGGACAATTAATAGTTGATGGAATTTTTAAGTATATTGATCGATTAGATGAAGTTACAAAATAATCCATGTTTCTGTTACCTTTGTACTGAATGTTTAAGCATTGTAAGTTTTAAAACAGATTGAATTCATTAAATCCCCACTGATTGTAACTTGTAACACATGATGCATATTTTATAACCAAGAATAAAAATAAATTAGATACATACCCGTTAAACGTCACTCAAATAATTTAAAAGTCTTAAACAATGTTTGGAGTACTTGCCCGAAATGCCAAACAACTGCCAAATAAATCTGTGCACCGAAACCTTCTGATGTTGAACTGGAAAGCTGTGAGTACTTCATTGTGAATGTAGTATTATATTGATAACCTCTTTGTTTTAGTTTTCATCTGAAGTAAAAAAAGCAGAAGATGCAGCAAAAAGTTCAAATGTCAATAAAGTAGAAAAGACAATTTTTGAACGGATTATAGACAGAGAACTTAAAGCTGATATTATCTATGAAGATGATACTTGTTTGGCTTTCAATGATGTTGCACCACAAGCACCAACTCATTTTCTTGTAATTCCAAAGCAAAAAATTACTCAATTGAGTAAAGCATCTGTAGATGATTCCAAGGTAACTACACAAATTACAATAAAATAATTTTAAATTGATTTTTAATACTTTTCCTTGCAGATTTTAGGTACTTTACTTCATCGAGCCAGTGCTCTAGCAAGAGAAAGATTACCAAATGGATTTAGAGTTGTGATTAATGATGGTGTCCAAGGGTGTCAATCTGTTTATCATCTACATATTCATGTTCTTGGTGGTAGACAATTACAATGGCCACCTGGCTAATAAACAAATTCTGATATTCTAAAATAGTATATACTGCATATTGGATTGCCTATATTAATGTTGGTCACACAAGATATTTTTTATTAAAAAATTGCAAAATTTGCAATAAAAATCATTTACATGCAATTGCTTATTTGTTTGCGGTTACCAGACCTGCTGGTCCTCTGGATGGTGCACCTTGTCCCTCTGGAACTAGTCTTAAAGGAACAAATCCTAATTCTGCCTCAGGAATTCCATACTGCTTGAGTTTAGATTCATAATGAGTATATTAAATCATCATGTGCCTTTGCAATCTTTGCCAGTTCGTACTGCAAATCACTTATCTTCTGTCTTTTCTTCGCCAAAATATTCTATAAAAAGTATTAGATTAATTCAATATTATCTCCTGTGTATTTAATTTTGTTGTCACCTCAATTTTAGAATTGATGGTGTGTCGCTGTTCAGGACTTTCAGTCAACTCGCTGATTACACATTCTCTACGTTCAGCATGTTCCATCAGTACTTCAATACGGTGTGCCATTAATGCTGTCTTTGTACCGGTTTTACGCTGTAGATCTAATATGGCTTTGGTGAATCTAAGTTGCAATTCATTACGTTCTGCTTCAATCTAAGAAAAATGCGAAGACATTATTACAATTCTAGGAATTGTATTTAAAATACCCTTTCATAGCGTAATTCCATTGCATCTCCTGCCCATCTCAACTCGTTTAGTTCTTTTTTGGTTGCTGCAAGCTTTGCTTTAGTATTCTGTAGAGAAATCTTGTCTTTTTCATAATTGACAAGTTGTCTTTTAAATTCTACCACTTCTGCCAGGGCCTGATGTAGTGGATCTTTCAATTTTTTGTTCTCACTGACTAAATCCTGTACCTGTTTCCCCATTCGTTCATTTTGTTTTCTTAGAATTTCCATTTGATCCTAAAAGTTATACATTTGTTAATAAAATAAGTACAGAGAGAAGAAGCAAAGACCTTTAGGCTACTGATCAACGCCAAGTTGTTCAGAGTAATATCATTATAATAGTTTTTCATTTCGTTGAAAGATTTCTCATGCCCCTGGATCAAATCAGAGATCTGTGTATTTTTACGCTCTTCCACTTCAGTCATCTCCATCTTGTGCTGAACACCAAGTTCTTCACGCAGCTGATTAAACTTCTTTTCGTATTTAAGTTCAATTTCTTTCGTCTGCGTCTCGAACTCCTGACGAGCATTGTAGAGTTCCTCGCTGAATTGCTATGGAAAAACGACACTTTATTATGGACATCCTGCGGTCGACGTCGACATGGCGCGCATACCAATTTCAAGTTCTTAATGTGATCCTGATTGGCCATTTCCTGCTCCCGACTTTTCGCCTTCAGCTCGCGCTTGTCGCGCAGCAATTCTCGCTCCTGCACGGCATGGTCGTCGCGCGCCAACTTGATCGAGACCATCGCTTCAGCTTTGGCGTCGGTGAGGTTCAGCTGATGTTCATACTGCAGGTGCTTCACCTTTTGCTTATAGAACTTGAGTTCTTCTTCGTTCTTCTCGGACGACTCCTCGATTTGTCTGTCTTTGTTCCTATAGCGGATCCACACACACACACACGATTCGCGTAGTGCAGCGATTTTACAGTTAGATGAAGATACTCGTACACGTTTAGCTCGTTTAGTAAATGGCATTAAAACGCACTCACCTCAGTTTCGCTTTTGCTTCCTCGAGCTCGTTACGTGTAATCTCCCAAAAGGTGCGCAGTTTGTCGCGCTCCAACTGGAAGAAGTTGCGCTCCTCACGTTCGCGTTCATTTTCTTCTTTGATCTTCAATGCGAAAATTTCCAATTGCTCTCTGGTCATCGACGAAGTGTCCACGCCATCAATAATAATTGCTATAAAAACATCTATTAATATCAAATATATACATATTTTATAACAAAATTACATACCGGCAGATTTACCTCCTTTTTTTCCTTTTTTAGGAGCCTAGAGGAAAGGAAACGATAAAAAATCATTACAAATAATATTATTATGATAAATATTACCATTTTAAAGCTTTAAATATTGAAAATATAGAAAATAAACACTGAATTCGGCTAAAACGCCGAATGATTGATCAAACAATGTAAACGTCTTGTTACGTTGCTATCGTTACAATCATTCAATCGATCTAGCGAGTCAATAAAAACTTGACAATTAACATTGACCGCAAACATTAATGTGCAGTACCGTGAGATGAACAATTGACGATACGTAATTAATCCATTGTTAAACGGAAAAATGCAGCAATGCATAATTTTTACAATTTTAACCATACAATCATTAATAAATAATTGGTTCTGAAAATACGCGTGTATAACACCACAAATTATAATGTAATGTAATTTCATTTGATTTGTGAATCATTAATCTTCATATTAGCTATGCTATTTACAGCGAATTCCTTGTCGAGGTATTTTATTACCATTATTACATTTTATTGCATCTCGCCACTCTGGCTAAACCTATTTAGTAAAGCTGCACATCCGTGCAAATGAAACTCGTCCTCCTACATGCGCATACATTTTGCGAATGACATCAAGTCTTAAACTAGCTCGCTATTTGTACTTTTGCCTGCATACACGCAAATGGCTGTGAACTGCGACTGAGACAACTTAAATGCAGGATACTCGTATATTCAAACAACGACTTTGTTGATTGGCAGTGTGTTGCTTCCCACTGCGTGCGCAACAATCGAGCTAATCGTTTGCGTGAGCCGCAATCATTTTTAGTTGATGATGGATGAATTTTGGTAACGTCATTAAATTAATATGCTCGAACATTTAGATTTGTAGATATTATTTTGTAGTAAATCTTAAGTGTGGGTAGGTCTCAATCATTTAAAAAATTAAAGTTAAACTTTCAGTGAAAAATTATTTTTAAAATCAAAATATTTCGTTGTTGGTTGAGTCGGAAGTAGGCAACAATGAATGATTTTGTGTATTTAAGCCGACTTGCGGATGTGCGCGCGCTCAAAGAACCATAACTGGAATAATTTTGTTGATCGCGTAATAATGGGAGTCATAGTTGGCATCACCTGATATAGTTTTTCACATTTCCGTTTTTTACACATCACCTGCAGCCGAATTCTGAGTAAACAATGATTGGTTTATTGTTTTTTAAACTCTTTGTGGAAATTACAAACGTTTACTAATAATTTCAGAAGAAATACGATAAAAAACAAGCACGTGAGACCAAATTATGCGTTGGAAGTAAAAAATTCCAAAAATTACTAAAACTACAAATGAATGATTCACGAATTTTGCTTTGCTAAACCAGTTTTAGATTTTGGCAATACCACAAACATACAATTCCGTGTATTAGAACAATTATTATGAAAAACGCGGCCGTGGAGTTTTTAATTGATTCTAAACACAACGTTAACTCAACGCTAAAGTTTTACGCCTGTGCTAACAGTATCCATCTTTGTTTTACAGTAACGAGGTTTTACTTTGTTGATGGTAACTTTGTCGCCGCATAAAGCAAATGATGTACGAGTATGAAGGCAGTGCCAAAGCGAATCTAGCATGCTAACTCTAATAAAAGATAGCTATGTTTAATCGCCGCTCCCCACTAGCGTATTTCGCTATCGCTCACCTTGCTCCCCGTTCGGCCGCCGCCTGCCTGTTGCGAGTCCACGCCAAGAGGAGAGCAGGCTTCGAAGCTCATCGTCGGAGCGTTGCATTCGCTACGTTAGTGCCTAGTTGTTGGTTGTTTACTGTGTGGACGAAGCTTTTGGTTCTTCTCTGCTTGTAAGGTAAGCATTAGAAGAATAATTAATGATATTGTAGTATTTATAAGGAAGTTTACTTAATCACACGCGTAATCACGCTTTGTATTGATTTATTTCGTCACAGTTCGCGAATTTATTGTCTTTAAGGTCAAACGAATCAAATCTGGATCAATCGAAGTTCATGAGATACTAAAAAACAATAGTGGTACTTAAGTTTGATATAAAAATTACTTACAATACGCAATTTGTTTGAATACTGACAATAAAAAGATGCGCAACCGCTGCAAATATTACTTACCGCTCTAGTTCTCATTAAGCAGCTTAAATATTTACAGAGAATTAACATCACTAGATAAATAATAATTCTGCTACTTTATCAAATAGGGTCAGGTGCATGATAATAATCAAACAAAGTTGAATTAAAGAGATTTGAAAACTATTAATTAAGAAAAAAGGAAGTATGGTACCGCTACATCATTCATAATTATTTGTCGTTATAATACGCAGGATGCATTTTTACGCCATGTGCGTTTTTGTTACCTGCTTCCATCGTACAACTCTTTATAAAACCATACGGCGTAACAAATTTCAATAAGTACACTTTGTACTTGTATTATATTCAACCAAACATCCAATTAAAACTTTGGAATTTATTGTTTCGACCAGTTATTTACATTTTTATTACCTATTGGAAAATTACCACAAGAAATTCCATTGTGAACCCATTACATACGAACTTGAACTTGAACTAAAACAAAAAAACATTTTTTTGATTTTTTACATTCAATTTTAATTACAAACCTGATACCAATAAATCCGCTTGTTTGAGATGCTGAATTGATGTTTTGTTTCGGCGGTCAGTTGAAGGACATACAATTAAAGCAATTTCAATCTAAAACAAAAAATAAACAATTATCTGAGCGTTACGATCCGAGCGTTCTTGTCCTGTCGTGTCTACTTTCATTTTAATCACAGGTAGAAAAAAGATTATTAGAATTACGGTGTGTGACGCTTCATGTTAGTTTTTTTGTGGTCCAAGACTCTGAGGGATTAGAAGCGTGGCAATTCTCACAGTCTGCTTTTGAAGTTTACTTTGCTCAGAGCACATCAATGCTTCACGTTTGATTAACCACTGAATCATTTTCAATCGTCAATAAAATCTTGTATCTGTAGATATATTTGAAAACGGTAAATGTTAGGTGAGTGACCTGAATTTTTAGTTTTATTATTTCTTGCTAATTTAATAACGCGTTTAAAAATATTAATTTCTAAATTTAGATTTTTTTTAAATTCTTCTTTGTTTTTCACATATTTTATTCACAACTTTCGCGTTGAACTCGTGCACGAAGTAACAACAAAGATTTGTGTCTTTCCTGAGACAAAGAGTATTGCCCATCGACGTGGAAAGTACAAAAACAAAAAAAAATCACAATAGCACTCTCCATATTGTTTATTCCTGCGGTGGTATTTCATGCTAGAAGAATCATGGGTACTTGCACAGAGATGCGCGCTGATAAAGTGGGTAGCGTCACGCAGAACGCCGCATCTATAGAGTGTGGCCGAAACGCTCAAAGCACACACGTAGTAATAAATGTAATAAAGAAAAGCAATTAATGGTCCGAGCTAGGTTTTTGTTTGCATTATTGCGCATAACATAAAGCGCGTCCATATGTTACGTTGGATAATTCACTGCATAATTTACCTCCACCATCTGCCACGACCAGACAAACTAGTATTTTGTTGTCACGAAGACGCAGAAAAGAGTTAAAATTAGCAATTTTCCTGCTGTTGTGTGCGTTTTATCGAAGCTTTCCTGCAATTTGCGTCCTGGGCGTGCAAACCCTTCTGCTGAATGATATTAGGTCAAACCCTTCCACTCCCCTTCCTTTTACATCTAGACATTTCGCGTGAGTATGCCAATATGTCGCCATTAACATTAAATGTACAATAGGGCTTTCAATTCAGCAGCTAAACTCTTCCCAGCTAAATTTATGCAACATTCGTGCACGCGCACTTCATATTTAACGCGTGCTGGTACTCTATTTAATTAAACAAACCAACAAATATCTAATTAGCTGTTGTTTATGCTTCCAATTGGCATATGTGGTACACCTAGTTGCGTAATGTAAAAAAGAATCCAAGAAGACAAACAAAGAGCTGGACGTGGAACATCAATCAACTCCTGTTTTCGTTTTATACACATGTAGATAAATAATGTATTACTGGTTAGCGTATGTGATGAACTTGATGGACATGCAAGAAGAAACTGCCTTGATCTTCGTCTCCGCGTAGAAATAAAGTGAAAAAAAGAATCGTTGAGGTGAAGGCGAAGGTTACGGCCAAGGTACCTGCAAGTACCAGTATAAGAATATAAGAAAAAGCAAAAGATAGAAACGGTAATTACGCGGTAATGACGCTGGACGTTAAGACGTTTCTTCTTCGTACCAAGAGTGCATCTCGCGGACGATTTATATTGTGTTGTGACTAACACGCTGGCTGTGTGTTAGAACAACATTATAAATAAGTTTCACCGACTTCAAACTGCATCACGCATCGTGCGCTTGCGGCTACATCCAAAGTTATTATTACGTTGCTGGTATGAATCAATAGAATAATGATTTCTGAACAAATGTTTTTTTCTTTTATTTTTGTATATTACGTAACTCGTTTTTATGTAGTCCTCGGTGTTTATTGTATTTATACTGATCTGTTTTATGAACAAGAAAACAGTTGTTTTCATGCCAAAACTGAAATAGATGCAAACATATATTTCAATCCACCCGCTTGTGTTCATTTTGAAACAAACCTGTTATATCTATAATTGGCACAGATTATTCAATGACATGAACTGTTCAAATCTTCTAAAAGACTCAAATTTGAATACTGTATGTAAATCTAAAGAATATGTAGTGTTTTGTTTAGTTACTCAAATTTACACGTGATTTTTATTGACATTCTTATTCGCGCTTATTTATTTAACTAAAACTACTAATTGCGTTACTTAATTGAAGCACAAATGTCTCCGAATACAAAGTTAAAGTTTCAGGCATGGAATATAACTTCTATTGGCCTTGAATTTTCTTGTAAATAATGATTCCTGACTCATTTATTACGCGATCAAGAAATCTCTGAATAAAATGTCAAGATTCCGTCAAGTTCTAATAATGTCTATGACAATTTAATCAGGTATTTTACAACCGTTTACAATAAATATAATTTATTCTACCTGGAGTGTGAGTACCTTTTATACCTACTTCATTGTGTAGCACGTAGTGAGCTTCCGTTTAAATTACAACATTTACCTCTGCTGACTTCCTCGAACGTGTTTGACAAATCAAAGGAAGTGCCTTAACATATGTCTCAATTTGTTTCAGGAATAATTCTCTACCATGGCGAGTAAAATCATCGGATTTGATGAAATAAAAGAGAACAAAGGCAATGTGATTTGGCGTGCAGCTCTCGCCGAGTTTGTGGGGAATTTACTCCTCAATTTATTCGGATGTGCAACTGTAGTGTTATCCTTCGCCCCATTGGAAACAGCCCTTACATTTGGCTTCATGATTTACCTCCTCGTTCAGGTATGATTGCGGTTAATGAATTACACCAATTATGCATCGTCATAATTCGTGTTTATAGTCGAAGCAAATCGGTGTTGGCACCGAGAATAACTGTTAAGTGCTTGAATTTATAACTCGAAGCGAAAAGAAGTGCAGGCGAGAGACCGTTAGATTAATGCCACTTTGCTTTTCTAGCGAATAACAACCGTACTAGCATACATACAGGGTACTACGGATTAAGTGTTTTCTTTTCCGTAACAAAATCATCGTTTGAAGTTTATGCGGTTTATTTTTACGCAAACGGCTGTTACCTCAATCTGAAACTAATCGCGTTTCCTGACTGCTCAACATTTTAAACACAGCGTATCAAGTTTTTAAAGCATTATAATAGCGTGACTAATATTTACAATATCATTACAGACATTAGGTCACGTGAGCGGCGGACATTTTAATCCTGCTGTGTCAATTGCGATGTTTGCAACCTGTAATATTGGACTTATTAAACTGGCTATTTATATTGCTGCACAATGTGCAGGCGCCATTGCCGGAAGTGCAATTTTAAAGGTAACCTATTTTTATTAACCTTTAGAAACCAAATTTTCACATTATTCTTATTTTAGTTGCTGGCACCAGGAAACTACGAAGGAAACTATGGAAACACAGTGGTTAATGAAGAGTTAATAAACGTTTGGCAAGCAATTGCTTACGAATTCTTCTTGGGTTTCATTTTAGTGTTTGTGGTCTTTGGATTCTGCGATCCAGACAGACCCGAAACAAATTACACTGGTTCCCTAGCAGTGGGCATCTCCATTGCTGTGGGACACATCGCTTTTATCGATGTAACCGGTTCAAGTATGAATCCAGCGCGTAGTTTAGGATCCGCCATGATCAGTAACGGCTGGAAGGATCACTATGTAATTATGTCAAACACAATAGAATTTTTAGTGACATTTAAAGGTCTGTATTGATTTTTAGGTGTTCTGGGTTGGTCCCATTGCTGGCGCAGTCGTCGCTGCGCTACTTTATCGTTGGATTTTCGCACAGCGTGATCTTGGATATCAGAGTGTACCATCGGATGAGGTACGTCGTGTAACCGTTAAATAGATTTGCACTTAATTCAACTTTTAATACAATTCAACAAAAACTGTTTCTGTGCAAGCGATCAAACGTTTGGAGCGTCGAAAATGACGCGAATGTCAGAGTAAGACACACTGGCGATTCACAACACTCACAGCACATTTAATTTAATACGTTGCATCTTATTTGTTAATCATTTGAGTCTTACTCTCATGTGTTTTTCAGCAACCACACGGCGCAGACAAAAAGCAAACTGCCTAACCTTTTAATCGAAGTTTTAGCACATAGCGCATATTTAACACTTGTACAACATTCGACTGAGATTAATATTTTTGCATCATCACATTAATTCAGAACCGAGCTGTTTATCATACAGGAATAATGAGCAACTGGATATGTAGGTAGCTTACTAATTGGTGCGATCTCAAGTTGCTCATTGTTCTTGTCTGGAACAACGCTTATGATATTAAGCTTTTTAACTTTTACTGTTACAATGTAGTATTTTAGTTTTGTAAGTAAACCAAACGACGAAAAGTGCAAATACTTTAAATTCTTGCAAACTTTCTAATTATATAAACGTGAAATTGGATTAATCATAATTATTACGTGTGTTCAGAATAAATGTACCGGTTTTAAACATTTTTAATTATTTACAATCCCCAAAAGTCCCAAACATAAATTTTTGTAATAAATAAAATCATTTTAATTCTCATTCCACACATACACTTATCCCAGTTCATTTATACATTTATTTACAATTTCTTAATGTTTAATTTTATTCCACAGAAATAAAAAAGATTAACCTACGGAACACTAATCATTCGGTTTCTTGGAGTGGTCAAGATAAAACATTGTAAAAACACAATATTTAATACCATAAATTAAATAAAACTGATTTAAACTGCCTTCTGCTTTGTGTTTTGCACATAATACGTTTTTCTCTAGCGGAATATTACAAATTAGTCGGCGTTTGTTTTTGTTCAGTGTTCATGTTCGTAAAATCGGTTTAAGTAAATGTTCGATCATCGTTAAATCGTGCACAACCTGTTTAAATTTATCTCACTCGGCTGGGACGGGCTCGAAGGGAATGGCACGCGGTACTTCGTAACCGTCATTTTCGATGGCATTATCACTGTCTTGTAAAATGTCCAAATATGTGTGTTGTGCCGTTGGTAAAGTTGAATTGGCGCGTAAAAATGGTACCTGCTCCCTGCTGCTTTCCTCTTCACTGCCAGACACTACCGAATTCGCTAAAATAACAACGATATACACTTAATAAACTTCTGTATAATGGTGACAAGCGTTAGTAAATGAAAGCATTCCCCTTATAATGTCATTGTACATGCATACCTGAATGATTATGATTTTCATCTTGAAAATATGCGCGATTTGAGATGCCATCCAAGTCTGCAAATGCGGTACCAAAATAATTGGTTAGTCAAGCAAGTTAAACATGCGCACGCACCAAATAGCTGCCGATTATTAATTGTGTATTAAAAAGAAGTACATACGTGCTGAGACCGTGCTCACATAGTGGCCTATATGTGCGCCCGTCATTGGACTCCCTGCCATTTTAAGATGGAGTCTGTCCAAGGTGTCTAGGCAATACTTGAAGGTAGGTCTTCGTTCAGCTTCCGTCTCCCAACACTTGAGCATGAGATTGTGTAGTATTTCTGGACAATTTGTGGGTTGTCCCAGACGACCTCCACGCCGCACATAGTGCAGAACTTCTAAATTATTACGAGCAGGATATGGCTGCTGACCCAGTGTCATTATCTCCCAGAGCAGAACCCCGAAAGCCCACACATCACTTTGACAAGTGAATACTCCGTCTACTAATGATTCAGGGGCCATCCATCGTACCGGAAGGAGACCTTCACCTTCCTTGCGATAGTAATCATTTTTGTAGATATCACGGGCAAGACCAAAGTCACCAATCTTGACGATTCTTGATGCAGGGTCAGTTGAGGACACTAAACAATTACGGCATGCTAAATCTCTATGGACAAAGTGCATCTCTTCAAGGTAACGACATCCCTTGGAAACATCCACGCACATTTTTAAAAGGTCTATTAAATTAAGACCACCAACATTTGACTAAAAATAAATTAAACAAAATTTAGTCTAAGTCTAATGAGAAAATATTTATAATCACCTCTGGTTTTCTTGATGATCGTAAATACGTCAGTAAATCACCACCTTCCATCAGTTCCATGATAATATAATGTGGGTCATTGTCAAGAACCACACCAAGTAATTCCAAAATATGTTCATGTTTGAAGTGACTCATCAGTTGCGCTTCTTGTAGAAACTCAAACTTTTCAGTATCTGACGCACCTTTTCGTAGTGTTTTCACCGCAACTTTAGTTTCACCTTCCATACCAGATATACACTTGGCTTTTCCTTGGAATACCTCACCAAATGCCCCACTGCCCAAGAATTTAACAAGTGTTATTTTGTCTCTGCTTATATGTGGTAGCATGGAGATATCATCTGGTATTTTATTGGGATTGTATAATATGTTGGTGTTGTTTAGAATTCGTGGTAACTCTCTTAAAGTGGCTAATTCCACGTCAGGTCCCCGCAGAGGAATCTTAAGTCCTTCTTTTTTATTCTTTTTACATACCCAGCAACATAATAGCTTACAAGCTATTAATAAAAATATCAGTATACCAAACGTAACACTAATGGCAATCACTACTTGAGAAAAATCATTCTTTTTCGCCATTTGCGCAGCGACAGCCATGTCAAACTGTACACTTTCCTCACTAAAATTACTCCAACCATAGGAATTTACTGCAGACACCCGAAAAGAATACCTATAGTCATTCTGAAAGTCACTAAACATCCAGAAGGAATCTGTACCATTATAAATAGACTCCCAGATGAATTCTTCATCGTCGTCTACAAATGGTCCTGTTGCAAACCACGCCGTGCGATTGGCATTTCTCTTCGCGCGATAATTAGGTGTTTTGAGTGTTTCTAAATTGTACATTATAATAGGTGCTCCATTGTCTTTTGAAGGTTCCCACCATACTTTATAAACATCATTTTTCACGTGTTGAATTCGTGGTATACCAGGTGGTGAAGGACGGTCCCCAAGTGTCTCAAAAACAAATCGTGAATCTTTCGGCCAGATATAATTTTCAACATCCAGAGGATACTTAAGACTCAAACGGAATTTATATATGGTTTTTGGTTTCAACTGCCTTAAGGTAATCTCTGCTAGATTACCATTTACTTCAGTTTCATTAATATCCATCCATAGCGTGCTTGTAAGTAATGTGTATTGAATTGTAAACTTATCCACAAATCGTGAAATATTCCATTGAACACGTAATTCAGTTGCAGAATTCTCCATTAATCGAATAGGTCCCGGTTGTGGGAAGGTGACAACCACCACGTGTTTACTATCACTTGATGTTTCATTTGTTTGACTATACGCACGTATCCAAATTGAGTAGGTTTCATTAGGTGAAACTGTTTGAAGTTTCGTTGTCAACACAGCAGCATGTAAAGGATTCGTTACAGTTTGTTCTCCTTTATGTCGCTCACCACTAATGGCACCCTCAGTTTGCCAATGTACTTCATAGTAAACAAAATCACCGTTCAAAGTCGCTGGCGGTTCCCAACGTACACTTAACAAAGTAGGATTCAACACATCAACACGTACATTTCGAGGAGGAGTTGGTGCACCAGCATCTGTTTGAAATACAACACCTGAACCTATGATTATTGCGTCGCCATCTTGTTCACTGAAATAGTTCTTCAACGCGACAGCAAACACATATTTCGTGTATGGTCGTAGGTTGATAATATCAGTGGTGGTGTCAAAGGTTGTCTTTTGAATACATGTCTCGTCACAGCTGGGAGGGCCCGTCATCATGTTATACTTTGCATAGTAGATAATATACTTTACAGTCGCCATTGTAGTGTTACAAGGTGATTGGTATTCAGGCATCTTGAGAGTTAACGTATTCGATGTGCGTTTGACCATTGACACTTTCATGTCAGCTGTATTCGAAGGTTTAAGGCACTCCATTTGTGGATATGGTTGATTGTTTGCTCCGTAGATCATCACATCATTCACCAATGTATTCTCCACGTAGATATTATTTCGCTTTTGGTTTAAATTTAGCATATGGAGTTTTTTATCAGACCAAAACACGTTACTTGAATCAGCAGAAATAGAAGTAATGTTGGATGTGACATGGTCTGTTAACACTTTGCATTTGCAGCCATCATTAGTTGAAATTATACGATTTGAAGACAAATATATCAATTGTGTATCGTATTTTAACGAACGATCAAGAGAAAATGTCCGTCCGGTGACTTTAGGACAATCACAACGACTTCTGGTGTCTATCATTTTGATTAAATGCTTTCCACTGACACTTGCTTTGTAAATTTGTCCTTCTTGTTTGATTTTGTTCCATTCTAACCAGTATAAAGCCTTTTCAAACGGTGAGACTTCAATTTTGTGATTACCTCTTGCAATTCTACTATTTTCATGTTTTTTACAATTCCTCGTTCGTATAAATTCAGATCCAGTTTAAAAACCGTACTGAATCCTTTGTTATAAACCAAATAATAAACACTTCTTTCTAACCAATCCACAGTCAAATGCACTAAATTCCCAGTGATTTCAACCATTCGTGAGAAATTCAACATTGCCAATTCATTGACATCATTAATCCAAAAGATTTTCTGCTCTGCGTACAAATAACCAATTTGTATTGGCGATCTACCTCCTTGGATCAATGTAATATTTGTAAATGTATCCATGTCTTTCAGGTAAATTGTATTTGCAGCAGCTACTAATATCTTTGGAATGTGTTTCTCTATCATGGTATCCACCACAATGCTTTCAGAAAAGGCTCCTTCACCGATTTCAGTAAATGCAGATACTTTAAACGTGTAATTGTTTGGTAACAGATTCTCAACCACCAGTTCTTTGACTGTAGCTTCAACAGTGAGATTTCCGGCAATAACTGTTGCAAAATTACCATTATCTTCTTCAGAGAACCACCAAATAATGTGGTACCCTCTTAATATTCCGTTGGTTACTTTCGGTGCGTCCCAACGATAAGTTACTTTCAACTGACTGGAATTTGATGAATGCTGATCATGTGTAACAAAAGCACGTGGATTACACGGTGCCTCTGGTACTGAAGGTGGCGAATGAAGTTTTATTTTCGTGTAGATTGATGCTCCCCAATAGGTAAACGCCTTGACTGAGATATGTAACTTTGTAAAGGGAGGAATTGAGTGCCAGTATTGTATTTGTGGAATTGTCGTTTTCTTCTATAAAAACAAACATAATATTAATGTGTTAATGATTGAGTAATTAATTAATATAGTTTTGTACCGTTGAATCATTCCTGGAAGCTGTATCAACTTTGATTTCGTAGAAAACCGCACCATAATTAACATTAGTCGTTTCTTCCCATTCAATGGTAAATAAATCCCAGGTGCCAACAACTTTAATAGAACTTCTATTGATTGCAACTGGTATGACAATTAGTTCAGTCCCATTATCTCTAAATGTACCTTTAATAATAAAAATTCATATAAATTTACCTTAAAAGTAACATTAAAAGTAAATTTACTCACTTGGCATTGATTGTAGTGCACTATCCTTCACATAAACTGTGTTTAAATTCAACAGATTCTTCCCACTAATACACGCTGTATTCCTACCCTCCAAATCACTAATCATCGCACTTTTATCATCCTGCAGCCAAATCAGTCTGTTATTGAAGTAACACAACGGCCCTGTCAAATTGGACACCCTTAATTTGTATTCAGTCACATTTCCTAAAGGGTTATCAGTGGTACCAGCCATAGGGGCTCGAAACAAATCCGAATGATCAGAACCACGCACAATCCAGTAAATATACTTGTGGTCTGGATCCAGCGTTAACCCCATGACATGCAGTCCCGAAAACATTTGCGACTCGTGATACTTGAAGTGATTTTCGCCATTTAACCGCGAGCACTCAAGCGTGTGCCCTGTCGACCAATATAAATAACCATTAATTGAATCGACGTGTAGTTCTTTTGCCAATGTATTTAGTTTAATATGTTCCTTTTGACTGCCGTTTAAATTTCCTCTGATGATCTGCAAATAGATTTAATTAGTTATTTTTTAAATAGTTAAAAATTATAATTTTCGTACCATTTGTTGTTTTGGATTGCACCAATACAACTTCTTTCCAATCCAGTCAATAGACACACTTCGCACTGAATCAATGTCACTCAAAGTGCCATTTTCTTGACTTGTCGTGTTGTACCAAATCAGTTGTGATGTATTAGTGACCAGGAAAAGTTTATCTTCATACCAAGCAATATCAGTAACATTCGCTCCGATGTTGGAACTACTATGAATAATAATTTCAATGTTTTCTCCTGTTACATCAGACTGAAGCAACCCTTCAGTACCAGACCACAAAATAGTAGCTGTAGTGTTATCCGGGTTGGATTTAAGAGTGCGTCCGACAAACTCTGTTGACCATGGACCATTCCCCGACACAGTATACGCTAAAGTTTTGATAATATATTCTGTGTCTTCATTCAATCCATGAATTGTATGCGTTGTAGAATTAATATCTCTCACATAACATGTATTATGCGTTGTCATATCTTTTATTGATATATCATAAGACCAATTCCTCCATGCTCCTTTTCCTTGCCAACCTAATATATGAGGTACCTGCCATGATATCCTCGCTGTATTTGTACCAAAAATAGCATCCACATTAATCGGTGGATTCAATGGTATGGGTGTTGATTGACTGCTTGTCAGATTAACTAATACTTGTGAATATGTATTAGATAACGATAGCGGATATGAGTTGTGAAAATAGTAATTATTATCAGGATGATGCTCTTCGAAATACACTTCAACACCGTTGGTCCAGTACAAGATATCATTTGCGGTCGCCAGCGAGAGAACTTTTTCAAATCGCGGTCGCGTCGCTTTCGGCCGCATGTTCATCACTTCTTTCCCATCGAACGAAATCGATATCACTGTGTTTTTATTCTGATGCGCGACGAGTATTTTAAAGTCTTCGTGGTCAACCGTGAATGCTCCGAGGTTTTTTTCACTGGTGATCTTGAAAGGTTTCACTTCATGTTTAACGCCATTGCTTACATCGGCAAGATCAAGTCGGTATATTCCACTTGCCATTCCCCAGAAAAGGTAACCATTATATGGATCAACTTCAAAATGTGTTGGTTTATGCAACAATCCGGCAATTGCGATTGTAAGTTCACCACCAGTCAGGTTACAACGAGCAATCTGCCATGCAAGTTTACCATCTTGACGGGAAACTTCACCGAGTATATACAAATGTTCATTGAGCCAATCCATTGATAGATCTAATGGTAAAAAATCCATCTGCGCGGCTGAGAGTATTTTGGTTTTACTTCTATGATTTGAGTATTTATGCAGGGGCATACGGAATATATTCCGGTCTGAGTCGGAGACGAATAGTAATTTTTTACTGACATGAATGGCCACACCTAAATTAATTAATTAAAATTAGTTTATTTAAAAAAAATATGTTATTTTGGTATACCCATAATGAATGCGTTGTTAGTATTATAGAGTATCACAGGTTCATCAATCATGTCCGTGCCTTGCTCAATGACAACATGATTCGCACCTAATATCAATATTGGTTTCTCCGAATGTTTAGCTGCGCCAAAAAATTTTTAAATAATTTTTTTTAATAAAAATTTCATAAAACCAGTTTTGGTACCTTTTGGTTGTTTTGGTGTGGCAACTGTAACAATTGCAGGTGGTCCAGGTCCTATCCCGTTTCGCATGCTAATAGAAACAGTGTAGTTACAATTCGGATTGAGGTTTTTGCACATAAAAAATTTCGTCTCCGCTGGTAAATCCTACCAAAATTTAAACACACAAAAAAACAAAATTAAATTGCATCCTAGCAAAACATCCTGTGATGAAAATAAAAAGCAGAGGTGCATGCGGAAGTTTGTCAGTATAAACACAGAACGTTAGCAAACAAACATGAAGATCACAAGGAATAAATAAATCAGTGCAACCAAAGATACCAAGGGTGCATAAAAATAATATTTATCAGAATATAAAAAACCAGAGGCACACCTTAAGTGCCGAGTATCCGTTGGGTTGATTATCTGTAATGCGGAGCACATAGGAAAGGAGAGGACCGTGCGGAAATGGACCAGGTTCCCAGCTGACGGTGATGCGCGTTGAATCAACGGGGACGGCACGTACTTTACTCGGCGGGAAGCAGGTACCCCTTCAGGTAGGGTACTGATAACCACACTGGGTGGTGAGACAATTGGCTCCGTGCGCTCAGTCAATAACAGGACAACTCTAAACTATATCCAAAATAAAATTAAAGCTTTTACTTAACCAACTCTTCAAAATCATCAAAAGACATCAAAACTTACTCTATATTTAGTATACGGTTCTAATTTATCAACAAATACTGTATCTTGTGCACCCCAGCTCTGATTGCGGCAGTATTGCCAGGCATCTTCACGCTCCTCGTACTGCAGGAAATACTTTAGTCTAGCGTCGCGTGCAAGCGGGAAATTCCACTCCAGACGCAGGGACGTCGCCGTCAGGCTGTCCGCCACCAACGCCGGCGCCGGCAGGTCGCCCAACCGTGCCTGCAACTCCATGCCGTACATGGAGATTGCGTCGTTGCAGCCGAGAATGCAGTACAAAGTCTTCGGCACGATGGTCGTGGTGACGTTCTACAAGTGCATACATATACCAAATAGAGAAATTAATCACCACCGCACGAAAAACCGTTGATATATGAAATAGAGATGCTATAAATGTTATCGTTGACCAATGACTTATTCACTCTTCATTAGATAACTCGCATAAATTAAATTGAAAACATAACGCATTAATTGAATATTTTTGTTTCGAAGTGACTTAATCAACATACTCATGCGCATCAGTCATAAAACACTTACGCATGCTTTCTCGCACGACGTCTCCACGGCTGATTTCCACAAATTACAGCCCTCCTCGCACTGAAAACAAGCAAATAAAATAAAAATTAATCAAATGTTTGCCGGAAATTCTAATTTAACGTTTTTAACGGAATTAAACGAAAAGTTCATCCAACGAAAGTTCAATAGTTGTTTACGCATTGGTAAAACGCATCTCATAAATGTCATAATGCGCCGCTGCTCATTACAATAAATTATTAATTACGATAAATTGAATAATTGTAAACGGCACTTAAACGCGTGCATGTAAATGAAGTCGTGCCCGAGGCCGCGTGTCGTGGGAATAATGCCCCGGGCGCATAAGTACCAACGTCCGACGAGCTTTGTTTCGCCTTTTGCGAAGCCGTACGCACAACAATTGTGACTTCCTGCATCCGACGGGCGCGCACCGCGCGACACGAACTCGTTTTCATTAAGCTCGCGCTATTGCTTTGAAACCGCCGAACACAAAGATGCTCTTAAATATTTACACATCTAGAAATCGTCTGGTTTACACCTTTTTGTCCCTTGACAATTTGAACTAATGGTACTAATATTTCTATTTGAGTTATGCGTTCGCACTTATTTCCTATGTGCACCACGTGTTGTTTTATGGACATTTACGTGAGTCAGTTTCATTTTTGACATTTTGTGAGGTATGTAGATAAAATAACAATTTTAGTGGGTTATTATATTACTCTCGTAACATTTACCTAACCAAAATTTTAAATATCAGGTATTTTGGGTTGCAGAATTTCATATTTTAAGTCAATAGAATCAATTTTCGCATATTTGTAGCAATTTGTTGGTTGCTAACGAATTATTTATCGAAATGTTGTTTACGGACACACACATTTACGTTTACGTTTACGTTTTATGTTGGTGATACTCAAAATGCTCCAAAAAATCGCCGAATAAATCAACTTTGAACAGTGATAGTGTATGCATGCACTGCACAAACGTAGAATTTAATGTGATTAACTTGCACGCGAAAGCTGAAGGCCAAGAGAATATTGACGACAGAGCATAACATGGATATAATACCTATTCGCATTTAATAATAGTATTATCTCGCATTGTAATCATTATAATGACGCCGAATGTATTTGTATTCTTATTGACTACTATAGGATGTAGCTAATGATGAATAATGGTTGATGCTGTGGTAGTTATATGTCGCATTGTTGCACAACCACAACACGTTTGTCGTCGAGATGATGGTATTGCAATATTTCTAACGGACATCAACAACGGTGGGGCTGTTATGCAGTAGTAATCAATTTTAATTTGCTAGGAATATTAATTTAAATTAATCTATTGCGTGTTATGTATTGTGTTGTGGGTGTTGGGTGATTTTGCTTTGTGAAACTGGACGTAAACAAAAACATGACTTTTCAGAATGGTGTAAATCAATCATTGCCTTCATAAGTGGCAAATGGGGCGCCAGACACCCTTCAGACTGATGGTATCTTGTATCTTGTCATGTTAAGCTCTTGACTTTGACTTTTTTCAAAATTCCAGACCTGTTGAGTTTAAAAATTCCAGAAGCAAAGTAAAAACTCAAGAATTTTAATCTAGGGTAATTATGATAGCAAGGAAACGATAAAAATGCATTAGACATGAACACTCAGCACTAATCGTACGAACAGATCATCCTTTGTTGTTATAATACTAAAATGATTCGATCAGATGCGACCCGGGTCAAAATAGCAAACTTGCGATTTGATAAATTTGTAAATTACGATCGAATTGTGTCTTTTATTGCTCACAAACATGAACAGATCACCAAACTGCGCGCGAAATATGTTGATACATTACATTTAATGTGCAATCAAGCGCGTGTTATGTAAAACCAATTAACGACGCTTTTCAATTCGATTTCATAAACGTTGTTACAACTAATCACAAAGCAAACCTTGTTAAACGAGTTAAAGAATGAAATAAATTGAAAAATCTCATGGTTATTTGAACACTATGAATATATTTCGGTTTGATGATCTTCCCTAATGTGTAAACGTCAGTGTTTAGCGCTCGCACAATGAAAATCGCTCTTTAAGTGACTTAATTGATTAACGAGCAGCAGTGTGCGCGCATTTGGGGTGTCTAAACATGTAAAAAGGGGCGCTATTTGAATGCGGCACTCGATGGATGGAACAACCTGACTAGTGTTTACATTTCGGCGCTCGGAAAGTCGGCGCTGCTGATTAGTGTTGTGCCCGAATGCGACTTAATGAGGAAACGGGGAATTAGGCAGCGCGTCGTCTGTTTTGTCTCACTTAAAAATTGTGTCGAACCTGTCTGACAACGTCTGCAACTAAACTTTAAAATAAATATTTACTTTTTATTATAAATAAAATTTTAATATGCAAAAGCACACTTTGCAGATCTTAAAATAGCGTTCAGGAATATAACACAGACGCAGAATTTAATTGGCTTAAACGTTTCGTACTTGAGACACATTCATTAATTCGCTAATAAAAGAGAATCAATTTCAATTCGAATGCATTCAATCAAATCTCATGGAATAGAATCGTGTGGCCAACAAACTAGAAACTAGGTTATTTCAATAAGTGAAAATATGTTGAACATACGCATTACTTTTAATTAGTAAAAATCACAATCACGTAGGCTGTACTCGTAGGTAGTAGGATGAGGTGTAACGTTATGAATGAGATTTTATTTTATTTTTCGAGCGAGCGGACAGGAAACGGATTTCTGCTCTATGTGGCACCATCAATGAACTGAACACAAAGTAAAACGCAATACACAACTTAAATTTTCCGATTTTTGAGTGAATTTCATATTGAAAATTTATTTTAAGAGTATCTTTGTTGCCAGTCGCTTCTTGTAGACATTTACAGCAAGACGTAATTCAATTTCAGTATGCGTTTGCTTTTTAGCGCCCACTTAATACGAGCACGCACATGCCATTTGCGTCCACCTCTGCATCCATTAGAACACATTATCAATTTACACAATGCACGCTCGAGTGTGCTCTGCGCCTTTTGCGGCACTTATAAAATTCCTTTCGCTTTAGGCACGCTCTCGTGCTCTCATCGTAGGTACCATAAAATAAAAATACATCGCTATACAAAAAATAACTTGAAAAACGTCTCTAAATGACAAATTTTTGCAAAGTGAAACAAATAAACGACATAACATCTTTATAGTTGAAGATTAGTGTAACGTTTTACAACTTGTTAGTTGTTAAGGATACAATATGATGAATATTAATGGCACACGCCGCCATCATTTATTAATTTAAATGTAACTTACTTTTTGATCGCAGAACGTTTGATCCTCGCATTGCGTAAGGTCCGTGTTCGTCTGCAAGTAAAGAAAATACGTTAGAACCACAAACTGAGACGGTCATTACATAATACTCATAAAAAACCGGATATAAGCTTAAGGGATGCCGTAATTACAGGTGCATTTCCTGTTCTACCTGTTGCACGCATGCTTTTACAACTCCGCATTCCTCCACTCTTTACAACCATCAATTAAGCGCTCGAAAACATGAAATAAAGATTGATTGATCTGAACTTCAAGTCGAAAGTTCTTTACGGTTAGTCTTGACTGTTGACTTTGTGTGAGAGGCGAATAAAACAACGATAGAGTGAATTCGAAGCACGAATCATAAATTATAGAAGGGTAATAAAAGCAAAAGATAGGAAATAATAATAAGTGATAATGATAAGCACGCAGCGCGGCGCTTATCGACGCGTCTGAAGCTGGCAAGATGTTATTAATAACTTTTCGGTCATTGGTCATCGGTCATCCTCGTTGCGCGCATGATTATTTCACGCGGGAAGACGCTTGTTTTCAATTTGGATGTGAATAAAAATCTCGTCCGAAATGAATTGCGCTTATTAATTAACACATATTTAGAGCGCGCCATCTTTGTCTCTTGATAGCTTCGTGCCACACACATTACACGATTGCAAAATCGATGTAAACAAACAGTATGGAGAGTAGGCCTAGTGCGTCAGATTAGAATGTATGTAAGACTTCATTCATAGACTTATTTTATTCAAATATAGATTTTTCAGTCTGTAGGTTTATGAAATATTTGATTTGGACATAGTTTTAGGCACCTGACACCCTTTTATTGTTTGCTTAACACTCGAGTGATTTTTGGAATGAGTATGCACTTCCTTTGAAAAAATGGGCAGGTATACAAGTGACCAACCCTTCCCACCCAATCTTCATGCGTGAAATTAGTTCCTTCTTTTATAAAATCACCACTTGAGTGCTTTCCTAATGCAACGGACTTCCTAGTGGACTGTCCAGAGTATTAACAGCAGAGTTTCACATAAATTTAGCGTAAATATTATGAAAACTGTTGTTGGGGTGTTTTTTTGCATTTATTAACTACTGTTTTACACATTCTGTGTTTATATCCATGCCCATGAAGTTAATACATGTGGGAAAATAAGTCAAGTGAATCGTCATGAATATTTATATTATGTTCGTGTCTATACACACATCGAAAGTGCTTTTTTATTACCGCTTGTTGCACATGCGTTTGTGTGAAAACCCCCGTTTTACTATACGCGTAGAAAATGGCAATTGCATGAGTGATAGCATATCGTACTTCACATACGTCGATAACAATTAACGAGTTCAACTCAACTTTACAAGGAGAAGGTGAAATAATCATATATTTTTATATTCTCATAATGTTTCATTTTCCTTGAATAAAGTGTGCTCATATTCACTCATTGAAGAAGTCAGTCATGTACTAGAGATGAAATAAAAGGGCCTACATTAATGAATTACAATGCACATGGCTCTTAATTACGAACTGCACATGTCCAAACTTATTAAACGTATGAACGATTAACTACGAACTTGAACCGGCGATCTACGCTCACAAATTTCGTCGCAACATGCACGAAATATTACGTTCTCGATTTTTTTTTGTTATTGCCGTTGACTACAGTGGTTCAAACCGTCGGTATTCAAGCAATGCACTTGTTGTGACAGCAATTAATTATAAATCTGAAGGCGCAATCAAAACATTTTTTACTTACAAGAAATAAATTCAAACTCACACTTGTACGACACTTGTTGACGCACAATTCGGCGATATTCAGGTCCCATAATTGCGAATGCGACGATTTCGCTGTCGCGATGTTGATCAAATGCAGGATAACTACAAATGCGACCAGCGCTCCTTTGCAGGATGCGTGCATTTTTACCAGGAACTATTTGTCATGCACCAAGCATCATTGTCCGCACAATTTTGCACAATTGTGTTTAAAAAGTTTGCACATGTTATCAGAACATACACGATGCACTTAGAAAATGTATTGCGCTCGCGATACGGAAAGCTTGCGAGCGAAGCTGAAATTGTTTTTATGCGCGCAGCGTCGTGCCGCGGTAAACACTGAACGGTTGCGCTCTTTCGGTTTTCAAATTGAGCGCGCCCGTCGCACCAAATCGTCCCACCCACCACTTTTCGAATGATGCGCTAATGATTGCTTCCGTTCATCACGTCGCTGATATAATGTGCATGGCGTGCTCAGCCGGACCAAACCACAGTCAATAAAAGTTTCAGTAACTTTTTTGTCGACACGTAGTCTTAATTGCCAGAGGTCTCAATTTTTTACCGAGAATTATCAATTATTTTCCACCCTCATGTACATATATAATTATCACATTAAATTCTTGATGAATTAATTATTCTAAATTATCCCAACATGAATTAGTTAAATAAACTTTATTATGAATAATATTTTTTTGCAACATTCGCAATGTTAAAATAGATTATTACCTCAAAACCAATCTCTATACAAATCAGTACTGTGTCCAAACTAAATTACAAGACGGGTGCAGTCAGCTCCTCCAAAATAGCATCGGTATCAATGGTAGAGGAGTCCAGTTTTGAATTGCACACGACACTAGTCACCATCGCCGTAAAGAAATTCAAATGGTTCGGGTTCTCCGAATAGCGCTCGTATTGCTCCAACGAATCATGCAACTTGAGAAGCAAACTTCCATAGTTAGCTTTTACTACATCCAAGATTTGTTCCTCGGACGGAGTTGACAAGTGTTGCGACGCAAGCCATTCTTTAATTTTCGGCTCAAAGTGTTTACTAATCGCTCGGATATTAATCAAACTATTGTTGAGTTTCTGTGCGTTCTCTTTGAACTCATTATCCATTGTCTCATATCTCAAACACATCGCGTCTAAATTAGTGAAAATATCGGAATTCCGGATCAATTCATAGTAAAGTTCATCGTAGCTGCCAGGCGTTGGCAAAAATGTATCACCGTAAGTAATGAAAAAGTTCAAAATATTGACAATGCGTAGACAAAGATCAAAAATGTTCATTTTTTTCGTTAGCGTGCTTTCATTTTGAATGAGATACTTAATAAGCGACGTGAGGCTTTCCCACAAATCAATCCATTTGTAATTTATCCGCACGCGACAACGTTTTTGGTATACTAAAAGCCTGTGGATTATACCGATTGCTAACATGTATAACTCTAAAGGCAGTTTCTTCATTTTGTGGCTGACGATGAATTCCACAAGCAAATCTAGACATAAATATCAAAATTACAGCGGTAAACGTTTAAATATATTATACTATACCTAGTAAGATAGCAACAAGTGGCTGTGGTGATGGGGCCTTTGTATTAGGTTTCTGATGTCGCATCGGCATTCTGTGCAGTTGTACTTTGAAAGTAAGACTTACATCATGCATCAATGAATTTGCATACTGATCTTCAGCAATGCAACTCAAAATGATAAAACACAACTTGACTGTATTAGTACCGGAATCTGTCTTTGTATCTTGCATCACAATGGAGCTACACATTAAATAATTTTAATTTTTACCTATTTAAAACCTTTGACATTTTGATAACTTACCAATACTGGAAGAACGTGACCAATAAATTCGATGGTTGCGCATTTACATCAATAACAGGCACGCTAGACAAATCAGGCGTTGGCCCTGAATTCAAAGTATTGCTCGGCGATGGCGGCGAACTTGTATCAGTCTGCATTTGGGCCAACGTCGTTATAAAGTTACGATTTAAATGAATCGCTTCGTACAACGCAAGTAATAAAGCATTATTTGCCTTGATCTTCTGATTTCGCATGCCTTCCTCTTCAGAAATAAACATACTACCTACGCGAGTTGTAAACGTCGACAGAGTTGACAACCAGGAAGAATTTTGTGTCTCAGCTTGTTGATTAACAAACTGTTTACAGAATTCTGTCAGTGATGCAGTGATCACTTGCCCATAACCATTCAGTGCTAATTCGTCATCAATAATTGACAATTTGACAATGTATGGATTTGCAGACTCATGTTTTCTGTAATTCACAAGTAAGGTTAATAAGAGGACAACATCATGACCATGAGTTTGTCTCTGTGTAGCTTCGCAGAGCAACTGAATTAAACTTTCAAACAAAGGTGCCATCATGATGTACTCAATGAGAGTATTTTGGTTAACATTCTCAGTACCAGTGACAAATACCAAGAGTAGTTTTAGGCAGAGACCTTTTAGACTGTCAGGATATTCACCTAGAATAAAAAAGTAGATTCAAATATTAAAATCTGATGATTTTATCATTGTTATTAATTACCAGCCAAAAAGAATTGACAATGATTAAGTAGTTTCTGCATCTTTTCCTCTGCATTTTGAACTCCCATCAACAAGCTGATTACATCAAACCCTGGCTCACTGCTAGTTTTCTTATAGATGGAGTGTACCAATACACATAGTGTCTGCATGGCAATCACAATCCTGATGTGCTTCTCATGGCTGAGTGATTCAATGCACTGAATGAATAAAGCATTGATGTTTTCTTTGGCAATTGTAAGCTGCTCTGGTGTTAATCGTGTTAGTTCTGTTTCCAGGTGCCATAATTTCGGCTTGATCAGGAACAATTCATCCCAAAACGTTGGGTTATTCTTGGCCAATTCCTCTCCCTTTAGTAACGATTCGTATATTTGCACCACTTTGCCCTTTAGCTGCTTTTTTCGACCAGGAACCACTCCTTTTCCTTGTATTCATCGTTGCAGGTTAGGACTTTGACGCGATGTTAAAGTGCAAACATGTACGTATTTTCCGTAGTACACTTCATAGGTTTTTTGCGTTGCGTAGGTGTTACTGGACTTCGATGATACTCGTACCTTGTTGTAATACCTAAATCTTGCTGTGTAGCACAAATCGAACTTAACTTTAAAGTTTGTTTACATTTGATGAACTGAACTATCATGTGTCAAACGAGAGATGTACAAAAATATATCTCAGTGTGAGGAATGAATTTATTTTTATAAATATTTTTTATCTTAATAAAACAACTCGCTATGTGGAAGTGGTTAATTATTATCTTGAGGATAATATGAATTAAATTTTATTTAACAACAGCAGGCCAGTGATTAACGTTAGTAAAATAAATGTTCTACAGATGGCGCGACATGCATCAAAATGAGAATAAGCAAGTTATTCATACATGTTGAAATTCCACTTTAAACTTTTATGGAGATAAGTATTTCAAGTAAACAACCTTGATCATGAAATCATTCTCTCTCTCTTTTCGCTGCGTAAACAAACAACATTTTAAAACTTTGTAAAAATACTCAATTTATTAAAAATCAATTTCTCTTTATTGTTTGTTCTGCAATATACATTAATTTATTAATATTTTCCGTAAGAAGGCCTTCCACCTCGCCGTGCACTACATTTCGTTGAACTGACAGCTGCGTCAACTGAATTCATCCAAATTCGGAAATTAACTTCATCATAATTCAAGCTACTGTATAAAAATATTGGCATGTTATTCGTCAACAAAATCACATCGTCTTTGTAGACTTTTAAGTCACATGGATAAATCATTTTCTGATCATTTTTCTGAACAATGTCAAAGTTATCGGGAGTAAACGCTTTGTTTGTATTCCAGCATCCAAGAGCATTCTGATTGACCAAACTCATAAAAGCACTCCGGTTGGTTTATGCAAATCAGTTGCTGACGTTTGAGCAAGATCCCCACGATGTCCCAAGTCCTACAAATAAAAACCAATTAATTTAAGTTTATATTAAAATTACGGAACATTACAATAAAGTCATTCTCATGATATGAACGTGTAGCCCTCGTTTGATTTTTCAAAACGTCCGTAGACACTTTGTACATGTGAACGCCAGCCATAGAATGAAAGAACATATCCCGATAGCCATCTTGTTTAATCCCAGATAACGCAACACTGAAGACTCCATCATTCCATTGGAATTTTTGACCGCCAATATTAAATTCTCCTGCTGAGGGTTCCAGGTAGAAATAGTTGTGATTTACTCTCCAGGAGTTATTATCTTTGAGACTATAAATAATCAAGCCATATCCTGCTAAATCAGGCATGTAGGCATACGCATTGTCGCAGGTATCAGCAGTCACATCAACAGTAATCAACGCCAAAATCGTGGGTGGACGAAGGTCGGAATCTTTCAATGTGTAACGGTGGATTAATTTGTCGGTTTTTAAGTCGTAAATTACAATTGAATGTGGTTGAATATCAGTGCGATTGCCTAAACAAATTGAATTTTAATATTGTTATAATATATTTATAGTTATAGTAGTTATGTATTACCTGGAATTTCAATTATGCCTGTATCTATTGCCCATAATCTATCACAAGCATCAATTGCAACTCGATAGATAGAAACCAATCTCTCATGTGCGGGTGCATCTAGTTGATTCGCCTTCCAGTTTGGATACGGGGTTAATGGTACGTTATGTCTACTGGTACTACTCATTGAGACATAATTGAGGGTTGCTGGCACACCACCCCTGCGTCTTGGCACCGTTATGAATAATTTATCCTGCCAACGGTTTGCACCCATTGGAATGTTGTTTTCTATAAATATTAATAACATATTTACTTTGTAATATCAGAAACTAGTTGATTTTGTAATATTTCTGATTTATAACATTATTTTTATCTAAACATCTTTACTCATGGTCGCCGCAAGCAGACAATAATTACATGTATGTTGTGTAATACTCAAATACTTGTTTTTTTTATTGTTATTATTGGTTTACCAGAACGGTGATTAACATCTCAATATAAAATAATATTCGTAGAAGTGTTAAAAAATCATAGTTTTTAAAATGAAAAAATAGTCATAAATTAGTATCGAAGTGCAAATTAATTGACGTATGATATAATACTTGTTGATAAGTAAAAAACGTTAGCAATAAAACTTTGATAACTTGTTCCCTTTTTTACTAATCAGTATTAACCTATTTGCATCTAACACTGATAAACATTATAATATTCAAACGATGTAAACACATTTAATACTTTTGTTTTAAAATAAAATTTGACTTGTACCAATAGTAAATACAATATAAAATTGCAAAGAACCTAGAACACTTCTTTATTATAGAAAACAACAATTTTTCTTTCGAGAATAGAAAAAAAATGTCCGAAATAAATTTATAAGTGCCTATTTTTTTATTCAAAACTAAGCGGGCACAGTCAAGAGAAAAATCCAAGTATAAATTTATAATATTTTAATTTTTAAAAGAAATTACTTACGATAAACGTAATCAACATCCTTAAAATCCTCTTTATCTCCACTTGAAGGACTAGCTGTTGTAGTAGATGTAGTAGTTTTCATATTCTGACTATGTTCGGTATTTACATTACCAGGAAATGCAAAATCCGTCCCATGAATGACAACACCACCCTGACCATAACTGCCATACGTTGTAGGCACATAAGGTTTGTATCCTCTGCCAAAACCAGATCTGGATGGTGTAGGCCATACATAATTAATCCGTGTCCAAGTAAATTCTTCATTCAACCCAGCGCAAGAAGCGCTCACCACGAGAGAGACTAATAGAAACAACTGCGAATACATCCCGACGATCAACTACTCACTGACCAAAGTGATGTATCGACTGGCACTAAATGCTTAAACGTTTAACACGCCTGCTAATACTCGTAAAAATTGAAATGCGCACGCGAGTTGACCGTCAAGTATGTTTATCTTAGATCACCGTTGAAGTGACCACTGGAGGTAAAATCCACTTGGTAGATGTAAATAATGTCATTAGCGTGCAAATAAACAAAGTTGGCAATACTTAATGTAATTAAACAGGTAAGTAATCGCTGGTTGACATCTGGTGCGGAGACAGTGAATGCCAATTTTATTAAAGCGACCTTAACCAATTTTTAAAATTTTGCGTTAATAAATGTAATTGCGCTGTGCAGAAAGTAGTAGAGTGGAAATGTTTAATTCAAGTTTAACACGCGCAAATTCAAATTGCCAATGACCTTGCTCGGTTGCAACAGACACACGTTGAAAGAAATTGAATAATTGAACATAGAATGCACTTATTTATTGGATAAAAGCTCAACTAATAAATAAACCTAAAAATATTTAATGTAAAGTTTATATATTCAATAATAACTATATTTTTTCATCAGCAAAACATTAATTCTACTTTTATAATAAAATCTTCGTGACTGCCTTTATTAAATGTTCAATGACATTGAATATAACGTTTTTCCCATGTCATAAATTACTTGACCGAAAAATTATTCGCGCATAAAGCAAATACTTGCTAATTTTAAAAATATCTTTAAAAATATTTGATGCTATTCAGTAATTGACACTTGATGCTTCAACCGGTACTAAATAATAGACGCCATTATGATTTACAAACATTCGTGTTCGTGTTTACACAACTTCCTTCGGCGAATCGCGCAGTCATAATCAACTAAATGTGGATTTATGTGCTTCACTCAGCGACATATAATGACAACACAATTCAGTAATTACACGAGATGAGCAGGGACTTTAACTAGCGGTCACCATCAGGTGGGGATTTCGGTTTATATAACCGACCTCTGTCGATACACTTTAGTTCCATTCTTTCTGCTGTGTTTGTGTTATATTTTCGCCAACAATGAAGAGTATTCTATTGATTTGCGCAAGTATGTTGTGTTCAGTGTTTAAACATGCTAGAATTGCGATTGACGCAAATGCGGAATTAACGTGCCGTTGCAAATTAATACTCCTCATAAATATACAAACGTCAAATTGCTTTTATTTGGTTTAACAATAGATAACAACAAGTACTTATGAATAATATAAAGTTTATGATGTCACGTGTGAACTAAACCGATTAGGAACATTTTCCGACAATAATTTCAATAATATCGTACAAAACAAACAATTTTTATTACTTTTAGTTGGCTTGCTGGCATTCGCATCGGCGTCGCCAGCAAAGGGCTCCACGAAAGCCGCGTTGAAAGCCAAACCATGCTTGAAACCCTGCCCGGAGTCATACATCCCCGTTTGCGGAGGTGATGATGTTGCCAAGCCCATCACTTTCGGCAACGAATGCGTCCTGACTAATTACAATTGTGAGCAGGACAAGCGTAAGTCGATTTTCTTTACACATTGTAAATATGAAGAAGTTTTTTTCTTAAATTAAAATGTGAATATTTTTGTTTTAGAATTCAAAATTCTTTCCCAGGGCGAATGCCCCGGCGGTGCAAGCGTTCGCCTGTCGTAATATCACAACTAATTAATATTAAGGATTAAATGAAGAGTTAATGTTAGTCGTCTGAGCACAAGTCCAAATCATCTACTTTTTTATAACCTGCAAACAATAAAAGGCATTAAATTTAAGTACAAATTTCAAGTTTATTTCAAGTGATACCTTTGGTATGATTTTTGCAGTTCGCCAAACTCATTTTGCAGTCATTGGCAAAATATTGATAAGAACCATCGACATCAATTGCACAAACAGGGCCTTTTATGTGAACACATCCAAAATCACACCGGGTGCTTCCATTATTAATAAGAGCAATAAAAACTGTCAATAAAAGAAGTAATTTTTAATTTTTGTTTAGTTTACGTTCTCATTTAGTTCAGATTCCATTTTAGGATTTAATTTTTACTTTTTTTAAATTTAATTTAAAATTATAGCAAAAAATAATAAATAAATAATTAAGAAAAATGATTATTCTATATTTTTCTTGGCTTACCTAAGAACATAAATGCAATAGCAGTCTTCATGGTAAATATTTGAGGAATTTCTCAGTTATAGGAACTGATACAACTTGCGCCGTGTGTAATTGCGAGTGAATGTTACACTTGACTAATTCGCTTTGGTGTAACACAGGCTTTTATAAGCTAACGGCGTGGAGGTGTTAACCGATAAGTGTTTTTTACCTTTGATGAAGGTTATTCTAATGCGAATACAAATTGCCTACCCAAAAACTGAACTAAAATAGAAGTGATAAACGGTATGGCGTGTCTTGCAATACGTTGGTAATTTGCTTATCATATTTTCACAAGCGTCAAAATTATTAAACGTTGCAAATACAATTTTGAACAACAATATCTATCGACATGTATTTATTTTTTTCGCATAAAACTGTCTGCTTATGCATACTTGTAATATGTTGCTATCTAATCATAGGTAGGTATATTGGTAAAACCAGTTTATTTTTCTAAATAATTTTGCTCAAAATTACAATTTTTTGAGTAATAACTTCATGGAGTTATTATAAAATACAATCAAGTTAATTGGTAGTTTTTTTGTTGGTTTGAATTAACATCTTCCTTTTTTAAATGGCACAAATTTAAAAGAATAAATTTTATAATTTAGTAAATTTATAAAAATTAAATTAAAATATACTTACTTCTGCTCATAGGCATGGGACAGTTCTCCATTGCCATCAAACATGGATTGCGGTACAATCTCTTCTCCCCAGCGTCATTTTGGCCACAAATTGGATCATACTGTTGAGTGCAAGCAGTGGGACACACTGCTGCACCAAAACTCAGCATTGCTGCAAATATAACTGCAAAATACATAATTAAATTAATAAATTAATAAATAATTTCATACAATTTAAGTTATATCATACCTAAGGCGAAAAGTAATGACAGTGACCTCATCGTTCCTCTTTTCCAATGACACTAAATGACACTTTGGAATATTTTTGTCTTTATATAACTATGCAAACGATTAGGTAACCATTATCATAAATAACAAGCAGTTAACAACATTTAATAGTAGTTGTTTATTCTCATTTTAAAGTAATTAAATTATGATGTTAATAAGTATCTCCCATTAACCAGTTTCAAAATCGGTTGTTATTGTTGTTTATATAATTAATTTTTGATAACAGTAAATTTAAAGCAAACAAGTTTTATGCTAATGTAAGTTGATACTAGATAATACCTAAACAAGTCCATTGTCAAGTTGTTATCGAACATATTTGATTTCTCAACATATGACGGCCGGGTTAAGGAGGAATTCTGTAAAATCGAAACATTTAATATGTATTAACCATGCTTTGAATAATAAAAACTTACTGTTATGAGGATATTGGCAGTTATGCATGTCTAATACGCATTCACTTCCGAATGAACGTATTTCACCCCAAGCGTTCTGACCACAGACTGGTTTAAGTATCATTGAACAGTATCCATTACATTGTGCGTAGGATACATCCGCTTGCGTCAGGACAACTGCAAAATTTTAAAATATGAAATTTAATTTTAAAAAATCAATTAATAATTGTTACTACCCAGCGACTATGTTTTTATTTTATGTTTTACCTACCGCAAGCGATCAATACTACAGTGATAAGCTTCATTTTGATTGAGTTTATTTACGAGTATGAGTAAATTGTTTGTGGATGCTGGGACCTTTATATATCAAAAAATGAAGGTGATAAACTACACGGAAATAAACTCAAAGAAACAATTAACTTATTGCCCTTTGTTAAAAATGGATGATATACAGGTGTCATTGAATTTTAATTAAAACTTACGCAAAATAAAAGTATTTTACTAGTAAAATTATGATATTTATTATGATTGGATATGTAATCGGATAACAAATTTTAAATTATTACTCCATTGTTTCTGGTTCCAGTAAATTTGAACTTGCACATGCGCAGAATTAATAGGTGCTCATATTTTTTTTATATTTGACTCTGTATTTACAAGCACACTAAAATTAGATGTTATTGTGAGTTTGTTAGCACATATTTATTATGATAGTACAATTCTACGCAGTACAATTTGTGTTTTGTGCGTTACAGTGACAACAGATAAAACATTTGCATTAATCAATCTAAAAACAAAAAAAATAAAAAATCTCGCGCATGGCTATACAAGTAAATCATCCCTTATGTCAAATTAAAAAAAAAAAAGTTTTGGTAATGTCTTCTAATTGTATCGCAATAATATTTAATTAGGCAAATTCATGTGCAAACGTGTTTTTATTTTTAAATTTGGAGTAAGTAATACTCGTACTTATTAACTAGTTCTGCAGTTGTTTTTGTCACTATAATTAATTTTGGATAACAGTTAATTTAAAACAAACACGTTTTATTCAATTATGTATTAGGTAACATCTAAATAAGTCCTTTGTTGTTATCAAACATATTTGAGTTAATCACAGTTTGCGGTCGATGTGATCAAGAATACTGTAAAATAGAAAAATTAAACATGTATTAAACAAGCTTTGTATAATAAAAACTTACGTTCCTTAGGATTTTCGCAGTTATGAGTATTTAAATCGCATTGATTTGGAAATCTACGAAATTCGCCCTGAGCGTTCTCAGCACAGACAGGAGAATTAGGTACTGGACAGGGTCCACCACATTGAGCGTATGTTAAATCCGCGTGCATCATGACAACTGAAATATTTTAAAACATGCAATCAAATTTTAAAAACACAGTTAATAATTGAAACTATCCAAAGACTGTGTATTTAGTGTTTTACTTACCGCAAGCTACCAATATAACAGTGATAATCTTCATTGTGTTGGATTATATTTATGAGTAAATTGTTTGTGGATGCTGGGATCTTTATATATCAAAATTGAAGGTGATAAACTATATGAAAATAAACTGAGGTGATATTGCAATTAATTTATTGTCTTTTATAATTAATTTAATATTAAATCAATTTTTAATGACAATTAATTTAAACCAAACACATTTTATGTTAAAGTAGATAGGTATTCAATAA